TTCTGAACTTTACCAAAATCATTTGAATGTTGTCAGGCATTCATTCAATAGAGCTCAAAATGAGCGGAAAGTTCCTAAATAGTGCCGCTCGGTTCACACAGAAAGTTTTGAGCTTTATTTGGGTGGTTTTTGACCATTATTACATAGAAATTTTTTTATATCGTACAACAGAGACATTGCGTTTGGTTGAATTTTGGCTTTCTTGTTAGTTTCGATGTAAGCTCAGGCCAAAAAAGCAGTTTTTCTTCGATTAATTCAAAGGTGTCGATTTCATTTCATACACGATTTAAGAATAGTTTGTTATTCCGGATAATAATTAAGTACGATTTTTTTGAATAATTTTCAGACGTTAAAAGAAAAACTTATTATTTTGGTTTGCTTGGTAATTTCATATTGCTCAAGAATTAGAAGATAATCACAGAGATAAGACTTTATATCAAAGCAAATAAAATCACTCGTCCAAACTCTTTTTTATGGAAAAGTTTTTTGTAAGATACCGAAAATGGTGTGTACAAAGCAACCATACGCCATAGTTCTTTAGTTCTTTAGTCACTCTCAGTGACAAGGTCGGAACAAAACTTAGAACTCCTGTGCATTTCAGAATTTCTTTTTTCGACGATTGTTTGTTTTTTTAACCTTCACTGCGACTTTAAAATATATTTCTGATGTATATGACGAGACAACAAACTACTGTGATGTGGAATGTAGGGATCTCTTCAACTATTTCCCCCCAAGGGAGGGGGCATGTTCGTAAACTAGGTACATAAATCTCCTATGATTAACCGTTGAATTAGTTTTTTATAGGGGTAGCAGTTCGTTACTAGGTACTAAAGGGGGAAAACTACTTGAAGTGATCCCAATGTAATTGATGAATGATCGAACGAAAGATTGAAAACATGCGATGATTTTCAATCAAAAAGTTAAATTATGAAATTTTTACCAATCCAGATTATAATTTGACAATCAGACGGGTCAGGATATAAATACTCAAACATATTTCATATTTTAGCAGCCATCTATAAAAAATTTTAAGGTCTATCTTTTCGATTGGGAAACTATTTAACAAAATATATTGTTTAGTTTATTGCTATTGAGAACAGAAACTTTTTGCGATTATTTTTTAAAGCTTAAACTTTTGCATCCAAGGATCAGAATAATTAAATTCGTTTCAGTAAAATTCATCAACCTTCACAATATTCATTATCTGAGGTGCTAAAACTTTATTTTAAGTTGATGAATTTTGCATGGATGTCAAAGACTAATTGCAAAACGATTTTTAAGTTATATTTGATTATATTTCCTAGTATCAAGAAAGTTTCATACGGCTACAAAAGAAAGCAGGGTAACAAGGGAAAGTGAATGAAAATGTGAAATGATCGTAAGGTGCACAAAATAAGCTCAAATCATCTCGTCAAAATGAGCTTCGATCGATCAAAAAGTTCTCAAATGTGCTAATTATGCTGTACCATGGTGCTGTATTGTACCAATAAGTTCGATCAAAAACCACTTGACGATCAGAAACCGCCCGAAATGAATCATGATCACAATCAAATTTAAATTATTTTTGATTTTTTTTTCAAAATTGTGAGATTACTTAAGTGATGAGAATTATGATCACGATTTGTTTTGAAATGGTAAATTATGAGGGGTGAAATAAGTATGGGGAAGTTGAGTGAAATGATCCTGGTCGGCTGATTAATTAGGAAAATGAATTATGATCCCATTCTCTACAATGAACGAATATGAATATGAAATGATAGGCAAACCAAACAAGACAACAGTTCATTACGACTAATGATGAGAAAAAGGCAACAACTACGATACGATTGTTTTCAGTTCCTTAGTAAAAACAAAAAAATGAGATTTTTTAAATTCCAGTAATGAATGATTTAGTTAATACTCAGAAAAACTTCTCTGTTCGGAAGCTAATCCTACCATGTACGAACTTAAAAAATGAAGCAGAAAAATTCAAATTACATTTTAAAGATAAATTCTCATAAGTAGGTTTTTCTTTGGAACACTTGTTAGCGATATTTTGGCTAAAAGATAAGTTTCGACATTTGAGGAATGCTGTAAATTTCAGTATATTCGAAATTTTTTGAATTTGGATTGAAAAATCCAAAATTATTCTAAAAAGCAAAATTTAAACATAAGGCAGTAGCAAGAATTTTGATTTTTAGTCACAAGTAAGGCAACTTTGAATCCTACTTCTAAAATCTAAATAATAACTTTAAGCTAATCGCAGTTCTGCAGATCAGATCAATAGCCGAAATGTTTTTAATAAACCAGCAATAATTAGTTATAACAACTTTAAACTGCATAAGTTACACTTAGGAAAGGAGGTAAGAAGGCCCACGACTGTGGGCATCAAAATACCAAAGAGCACCATATAAACTTAAAACTACAATTTTAGAGAAATTTCGAAAGAGACGAATAAAAAGTAAATATTGAGAAATTATCAAAGTAATAATCCAATAAATATGCGCTAGTTTTACTACTGCACTAAACTGCTCAATAACTTTTCAGGAAGACATTTCAAATAATCACAAAAATTTATAACTTCTAGAAAAATAAATAGTCAAATAGTAAATTTTGATTAGTTTATTCAGTTTTTACCTGTTAAGAGCTTGAATTCGATTCATGTCGTAAGCACTAAACGATCTCTGAACATGTTTTTTTGTTATTAGCCACGTGAAAGTTTTGATCTCAGATCTAAATATTTCACACTGTTACTTTTCCCTGTAGAGCTCTTATTTCTTGCGTCATTCTTATTCTCTGTTCAATTAGCATAGCAGCAGTCATCACAGCCTTAGGAGATCCCATTATTGTCAATCGTCGCAGCTCCGAACTCGGTTCACCTTTAGGCGACACTTGGATTCTTGTATTGGACAAGTTCTGGATCTCAATTAAGGTTTTCCCGGCTACACCCAAAACTGCACCCACGATGTTGTCTTCCACTTCCATAGTGTGAGACATTATAGCGTTCGGGTTGTCAGGGCCGTGTCCAGACTGAACCTGGGAATCTTGGATTCCATTTCGGAAAAGATGGTTGTTCGTGGATCCAGTGTTCTGCCCGTTTTGGTTCACTGCGTTTTGCAAGGCACTTGTGTTCAAAGGGTTCAATAAATTTTGATTTGAACTGTCAATCAAACTGTTTTGTGAGTTCTGCTGACTTCTCAGTAAAGTTTCGACTGTTAAATTCGGATTCAATTGTTGCTCGGATATTCCTGAAAAGTTCTGTAGACTGCCACTTGAACTGTTGTTGTTGAAACTGCTCTGGAACCCGCCGCCAGATGACTGGCTCATTGAGCTTGGAAGACTTGTCATGTACACTCCAGGTGCTTCCAGGGCCGAGGTCAGACTCGAGGGGTTGTTAAGAGCCCCCGATACTGAGTTTGCCCCACTGGAGTTATCGGCTAAAAAATGACCGGTCGCATTTTGGTTTCCACTTGCGCCTAGAGTCCCGCTTCCGTTTGGCAGAAGTCCAGCTGCCGCCAAAAGCTGTTGATTTTGTTGGGTCAAATTACCCCCTAATAACGCATTGCTGTTCAACGCTGTTAACGTGTGTCCTTCTTTTTGAAGCGCGTTTGCTCTTTGAGCGGCTGCGAGTGCGGCGTTATGTTGGGATCCATGATGCTGAGAAGTTACTGCAGGCATCATATGCTGCTGTTGCTGTTGATGTCCAGGTGCTCCTTGGGATCCGAGACCTCCGTGGAACCCAGGAGACGCAGCGAGACCCATGCTTGCATACAAAGCTGCGGTCTGTTGGTCCAGCATAGCTTGGTTTGCGGCCAGAGCACTCTGGTACAGTCCAGAAGCAGCACCGGCTCCTCCGGGGGTTGCAAGATATGCGGCACCGGGATATGCGAAAGAGGCGGCGGTCGGTTGTCCGGCGGCCGCTGCTTGCAAAGCGTAGGGATTCGCGTAGGCAAGTTTAAGAAGGTGTTCCAAATTCATAGCAGACGCCATAGCGTAACCTGAGGGATCACCCATCACACTTGACATGTTGCCACCCATGTTATACACTAAATTAGGGCAGCTTCCACTTTGCGGATCGGCTTTGATCTTTTCCAGGACTTTGTCCATGGCCATGTTTATCTGGACAGCCGAGCCAGAGAGGGTGAGACATCTTTCCATGATTGGACTGAAGTCTGGTTTTGGTGAAAACTCCATCCTAACTCCGGTTTCAGCTTGAATTGCCCGTTGGTTGCAACCCTGTCGCCCGATTAGCATTCCTACAGTCGTGTGTGGGATTAGAATTTTAGCCTAAAACAAAAAAAATCATTTTTAATGACATATTTTTACAGCTTTCATTCAAGTCTTCTAACATTTTCTTTGATTATTGATTAGCTTAACAGCTCAACAGATATCAGGTTAAAAGTTATCTTTTACTTCTTCAACAGTTTTCGGTTTCAAGGAGTGAAAAAAAATTAACTGAAAGTTGTGACATTAGATACTAGACACTTTTTCAGACGCTCATTTTTTAGTAATAGTTCTTTACTTTTTTCATTGATTAATTGATTAATGACCTTTTCATGTGCGTTTTTGTCCTTTTCAACATGGCTATAAAACTCTTCTCATAGCCGGCCTGACCCCATAACTGCTACATGTAGTAAAGATGAAAAGACTTTCAGAGAGAGCTATGGTTGCTCGGAGTTAAATAGACTTAGCAAAATGAAGCCAGTAACGGAAAAAGAAAAAAGAGATGCTGCTAAATAAAATAGGGCAGAATGGTGGGCAAAATAGGACAATTCACAGCAAAGATGATTGAATGATTGAATTAAAGCAACTTAGTTAGCAAAAAATATAACAAAATAGAACCCTGCAATGAACAAAAAAGATGTCTATGTATTGAAGAAACCAATAAATGAAAGAGTGAATTAAATTTTCTCTGTGGGTTCTGGGTGCTTTAACTATAGTAGGTTAGCCAGTAGCCAAAAAGTAGTCACATTTTTTGGGGTTCCCCCTTTTACTATCTTTTATATAACTGGCTAGTCTTTGAGATTTTTCCGGCTAAGTGAAGATACGCGACAATCCACGCATGGTAGCCTAAGTGATAGAATTTAGCCGGTGATCTCTTGGGATTAAGACTCTTCTATGCGCTATTATTCCCCCGGAATTTGGTCCGAAGTCGCTGAATAACAAACACAATTACCATTTAACGACACGGCTATCCGCCATTGTTCAGCCCGATTGCCCTTGTACGCATGCCAGCCGCAAATTCGCCCTCACTCTCCCGGGGGTTGGGGTAGGGGTAAAAATTAAGCAACTGTCATATCGCGAATCACAAGTTCCGCATCCAAAACTGAGATTTATTTGATAAATTTAATTGCACTGTTTTGATTTAAAATTTGAAAAAAAAGAAAACCATCTTGTTGTCAACTATGAAGATAAAACTACGAAAGGAAAAACGGTTAAACAAATACGAAAAAGAAAGCATGATTTTCTGTGTGATTTGCTTTTCAATTCAGGAGCAATCAAATATTGTGTCATTTATAATTTATCTTCTGAAATAGTCATTTTTTTGAAATACGAGCCTGAGTAAACTATAGGCGCCGTATAATCAGGAACTAAAAAGCACCTGGTCCCAATGAAGATGATTACTACAAACAGGAACAGAGAATACAATTTAACTTGAAGATCCCTCGGCGCTCTTTTTCCCATTCTGTTCGGTCAGACCTATAAATTAATTACCCAAACTGTACATGAAAATACAGTTCCCAATTTGGCTATTTCTGGAACACTCAATCATTCTTTATTTATAACCTTTTCCTCCTGGGAACAAAAATGAACCGAGCATTTGTAGGAGATAGGGAAAAAGCAAAACTTACAAATGATCATGGTGCAAAATACAAGAAGTTGAATCCCTTCTTAGGTAAATTTTGCCTTTTTATTCTTAGGTATCAATATTCAAGAACTTCTTTATTTGGTTGATCTCTGTTTCTTTTAAGAACTCCTTGCATGGTAAAAAAAATCGCGTCCAGATTATTTGGCCAAAGTCAATTCAGCCGATTTGAAACTCAGACAATTCAGCAAAAAGTATGCAGACAATTCAGCCAGAGACAATTCAGCCAATAATAGTGACCGCCGCAGTCGCGCCAACGTGTTGCGAGCTTGCCAACAGAGGGTCCGAATGACCGAAAATTTTCAATCAGTCAATTTCCTTTAAATTGTGTCTGAATTGACTGATTCTCATTGTTTTCTATCGAATTTTTGAATACTTAATTCTGATTGGCCTGCATATTTTTCGGGCATTCGATCCTTTGAGCATGAAGGATTTCACTAAATATTTCTTAAGCCAGAAATTATGGTAGTGATTAGCGAGGGTAACAAAAAAGAGGAGGGGTATGGACATGGCTATAATTTGAGCATCCGGAGAGGTCCGGTGAAATGCACCTGCGCTCGATCAAACACGATAATTGGCAGGGCACCTGAGAAATCAATTTGTAACGACATTTACAACCCAGCCAGCGACACGCATTACAAGCATGAAAAGACAGCAAGACCACGTGAACAGAGAAAAGGCAGATGCGAAAGATGCAACTGGCCGGAAAAAACACCAGGCCGGGTTAGGGAACCATTTCTTGTTCATCATCTTTTACCTCTAATCACATATCCTGTATCTATTTTTATAGTTCATCTTGAAACAAAAATGGGCCGTAAAAATTTAAACCAAAAACAAGTTAACCAAAGCTGCATAAAAATCTTCCTTTTTCATAGAGCCATAAAAATTTTTCTTTTAAAAAACTACGCTATAAAAATTTGCTTCTGTGAAAAAAAAGAGCTATAAAAAATTGCTTGTTTGAAAAATTTAGCCATAAACGAATATAAAAGAAAAATGCCTGTTTACAACTGAATATCGGGTGTGTCATATATTTCTAAATAAAACGCAAAATCCGGCGGTGATATTTTCCTGGGGGCTGCAAAACTAGCTGTTTAATGACCTGTTCATTTATCCCACACATTCACTTGTTCTGACTGTTTCGAAATGTCAACAACCGAAGTAAACAGTTTACCATTCCAAGACAAACACGTTCTGACGTAGTTACTGTTTGATTGAGGGAACTTTTCATATTCAAACAGCGCTTTTTGTAAAAATCTGCCTTTTAGCAATTGATTAAAACGAACGTTTCATTTTGTTATTAACCTCAAAACTGCTAGAAAAACTTGAAATTAAAACATAAACTGAAAACGAAACCAAGAAATTTTCTGAGAATAAACAAAAAATTTGCATGTAGTTCTTAACCAGGGGTACAACAGCGTTTCTTCATAAAAATGTAAACAGCTCGAATGTTGGTCTTTTACCCTCTACAAATGGTCTAAAACTAAATCATAGCGCTAATCTAGGATACCAGCATTTAAAGTTCTGAGTTATGACCGAAGTGTAACTCATAGAGTAATTTCGGATAGGGTACACCGTCTGCTCGTCACGCTATCTTATTTTCGGCCGGATAGATTCGTGCAACTTCTTAGTCTAATACCGATCCTAATCTTACTCTTATACTATCTAGTCTCAGGTTGTTTAACTAGTCTCTGCTAGGCTCAATAGATCTAGGGTATACTGGTTTATTGCGGCTGCTGAAGTGCTCGGGAGAGTCCAACTAATTTCTAAGTTAAATTCAAATCTCTCTGGTGCTGAAATTACAAGTAACTTCAGCACTTACAAATAAGTGGGTTGTTAGTTAGATGGATCATGATTGGTTAATATTAAATACTTTACATTGGTAAAACATTTAATTTATCCAATCATAAAATGTAGTTTAGATCAGGTTCCACCCATCCGGGTTTTACAGAGTTTTTTAGAATAGTTCTTCTGCAATTCGAAGGATGGATGATGGACGTTGGTGTTTGGCGAACATCATAATTTTCTTCCGTTTCCTCTTTTGTTAGGGAAGTTCCAGGAAGTTGGAGTTAGAGACATAAGACGTTGTGTTCTTCTTGTGACAACGACTAAGTCTTCGCAACAAATTCAAATCTGATTTCAGAATGGTTGGCTATGTCAGGTTTTTCTGTTCTTCGTGGAGAACTTCTTTTGTGTCTGATTTAGTTTGGGAATGGCGTGGAGATTGTGCGTGGAGGGGATGCCTGGTTACTCGGATCTGTACGTATACTTGAACATCGAGGTGGTCATTGGTCTAGTTCAATGAAGTCCTTTTCTGCGAGGTCAAGTCGTACTCTAAATCCTTTGAGTTGTGATTGTGAGCGGCATATCGATTGTAGTTGGTCATTCTCTCTCGAGTGTAGTGGGGTCGTCTTGTCTTTTGATGTTCGTCCTTGGTGTTGTATTCTGATCTATATATTGCATCATGTGATTTTACATTTTATAAAACTTTTATTAGTTTAGTATTTTTTAATAATGATTTTAGTTAGTTGTTTTCACAAAAGCTTTTTGTTTTAGTTCGGTTATTTTGAAGAGTTACTCACACTTGAGTAGCTCTTATTAAAAATAGTGGTGTGGTCACAAAGCGTGGATGTAGCGCGGTGGGTTAGGCCGGCTATAGAGCATGCTCAGGACGTCCTTCCTGGTGGATTAGGCCAGGAGTGGGAGTATGATTTCATGCGGTTTTTGTGAGGGGTCCTGTTATGTGACAACGTTTTATGTTGGGTTTGTTGTGGTCTTACTTATGTTTTGTTGGTTGTGTCCTTTTTTCAAAAATCAAATTGTTTGTGGTATGGGTTTGTCTTTCGACTTTTTTGTGTTTTATTATTTCTTTCTTAGACTTTATAATAGTCTTCAAAAGAATAAATTATCCAGTTTTAAACTGGGTTAATCCGGTTTGGGTACCGTTGGTTTCTTTTTCTAAGTCATGCTGTTATTCTATGATTTGTGGTATTTAGTAAGCTGCGTTGGTTAGTTTTGTTTAGTATATGATTCCTTTCCAACCGGGTTAAAGGAAAGTTTGAAACATGTTATTATATGTTAGAGTTGTTGAGTGTGAAAACTTGAAACTGAAATTCATTATTTTAAACAATTCTTCGTGGGCGAGCTGTGCGAGTGTGGATAGAATTTCTGTGCGAATGAATGAAAATATCAAAAGGTTAGTACTGCATTTGCATTTATTTAATTTACTACATAGAATTTAGAAATTTACTGCTAGTCATGGGGGAATATTAAGATACAAATTTTCATCATAATTAGATTTACTGCTTGTGGGGGAAAATTTTAGAAATGAATTTACTGCATTGGTATTAAATTTATAAATTTATAAGTGTAAGAGATTAATAGAATTTTTGAAATCTGTTTGATGAAATTTGCGATTTTTATT